TACTTAGAACAAGCTAAGCTAAGCAAAGCACAGGGACCGCGGTTCAATCCCCCAGCACCACATGCCAGCCAGCCCCGCCCTCTGGTGGGCTGAGCTGGCCACACACCCACATAAATAAGTAAATTTAAAAAAAAATTAATCAAAAAAAATTTAGAAAAAAAAAAAGTATTTGCTGAATAAAGACTAGAGCCAGGTAGAGTGGTGCCACTAATTCTATAGGTTGAGATAGGAGGATTGCCATCAGTTTGAGGACAGCCTGGGCTACATAGGAAGACTTTATCTCAAAAAATAAATAAATAAATAAAAGACTGCATAGTATCCACATCCAACTTAAATTATAGTCAATACTGGCTATGTGGTGCTTCCTACCTTTTGGTTATTACCAGCCCGGTTGTGGGATGTATGTCACATGACTCAAGGTTAATGAACTTCCCCTGAGCTACACTGGAGTCAAACTCCATTATCGGAGTCCTTGTTCCCAAGTCTGATATGCCCACTACAGTGGATTCCCAGTGGGAACTCCCAAGGTGGCAAAGACTCACATGCCCTCCACCAGAGGTCGCCCAGAATGAAAGTTCTCCCCCACGGGTCCTTACGCTGCAGAGAATATCATTAAGAAAAAGCAGAGTTGTCTTTTCACATTGATGAGGCCAAATATCCATATTCAACACCCAGTTAGAGGAGAAAAAGTGTATTGTGGCTTACAGTTCATAGAGGTTTCAGGCTATAGTCAGCTGGCTTCAAGGGAGGGTGGCACAGCACAGAAGAAATGGCCCATGGCAAAGCAGGGCAGGTGGAGGGCAGCCAAGGTAACTGGCAGCAGCAGCAGCAGCACACAAGGAAGCCTGCCCTTACATTCCATCCAACATACCATACTCGGAGGGTAGGCCACCCTTCATTCTGGCACCACACCCCAGATCCAGCTGGCCTGGAAAAGCCCCACCTTGCCTGCATGAGGCTTTCGGGGAGGGGTAATCATGTAAATACAAATCAGGACAAGGGCACATATTATGTGCTACTTTTTTAGTAGGAAAGTGGAAAAAATGAGAAAACTTACTTGTGACATTGCATGACACAACGCCAGGGGGTGCTCAATATGAATCACTGCGGTGAGTAGGAAATGGAAGCCTGTTTTTTTTTTTTTGCAGAACTGGGGATTGAACTCAGGCCCTTGCGCTTGCCAGGGAAGTGCTTATTCCACTGAGTCATCTCCCTGGCCCTGGAAGCCCGTTTCTAAGCACCGTGTATTCCTTTTTCTTTTTTAGACAGGGTCTATGTAGCCCACGCTGACCTTAAACTCCTCCCAAATGCTAGGATTACAGGCATGCACCATGCCCAACCTCACTCTGACTTTTTAATCCTGTGAATAAGTTGTCTTGAAACATGTAAGCTACAAGGAGTCTGTGCATCACAGCCCTCGGGCCCCCCTCTAGTCACATGCACACCTGCCCACCCCCTAAGACCCTTGAGGCAGCCAAAACATGCTTCCCCAGAACATCTGGTAGGACCTCAGTCCCATCCCTGACTGGTTGCTGCCTCTGCTCTCTTGACCTCACTCATAGGTCTATCTATTTGAGGGCCTCAGCACTTCAGACGAGCTACCTGCAAACCTGCCTGTTCATTTATAACTTTGGAGATTTCAGTAATTTGCCATTTTTATATCAAATAGCCTCATCTGTAGAACAAGATCATATCTTCAAAGAACTGCTGTGAGCATGCAGTCTCACACCTAGCTCCCAGGCCCACACGCTGGTGCCTGAGGACCAGGCTCCTCTTCATTGCCCACTTGAGTCTGGCAAGCTCCGAGTTGGTGTGAGCCAGCATCACATCAGAGCCAAGACAGCCTTCCCAACAGCAGTGGTCTGTCTACACAACAGCTCAACCGTAGCTGAGCTAGGTACTCCAGCAGCAGGGAGTTCTCCTCAGTAGGGTCAATCCTAATTACTTGGCAAGATCCTCAATGCTAGGTCAACCCATAAGCACGATGCTCAGGCCTCCGGGACATCAGCTTCACAGGGCTTCTTCAGAGATGCTGGCTCATTCCCTTACCGTCACAGCATCAAAGATTTGCAGTTCACGACTGTCCCTTGCCTGCCTCCCAAAAGGGTGTGGGCTTATGACAGGAAGGACTCATGTTCTGGTTTACTCATCACTTTTATCAATGTCCTAGAAAACACATCCAATAAGCACATGTGGATCTTTCCCAAAAGGATGCTTTATTGACAAATTGCCCATTTATTCATTATACGTCAGTGCCCATTCCTGCAGCCCGCCTTCTCGTCACACTCCAAAGGCAATTAACAATAGAAAAAGGACACCAGCTGGTATTCTATTCCAGCTCTTGCACCCTCGTTGTGCATGATGGGCAGTTCCTAAGAATGTCTGAAGTGGCCGGGGACCCTTGGTCATCAGAGGACACATAGCCTACCAAAGTGGACACTGAGTGGTCCCTTCTGCTTCCAAGATGCAAAGACATGCACACAGCAGGCAAGGTCTTGGTGCCCTGCCAAAAGCCACTAAGGCACATAGCTGCCCCTCCAGACCACACCTCCTGACACGTGGGGCCCAGCATGAGAGGCTACCAAGATGTGGCAGTTTAAAAAGAAATCTTTGTAGCTCCTGAGGAAATGTGGCAGCAGTGTTCCAGCTGATTCCCAACCCCATTTCCAGCGTGACCTACAGGGCTGATGGTGCTTCTATACCCTACGTGCAGTGAGCAGGCAGGCTGGGCCATGCCCTGGGCAATCAGCACTACGCAGAGGCACATCTTGTGCAAGGATGATAAAATCAGAGAGTTTCTTTCTCTCAGTCCCTCCTGCCCCCAGAGACCCAGCAGCCCCTTGGGCTAGAGTAGGGAGCCAGAGGAACTGCCAGTCCTTGCAAGAATCAAGCTTTTCACACTAGTAGGTGCTAGTGTGCTAAATATGCTAATTGGTACAGGCAGAGTGCAACACAGGCCAGATGTAAAAAAAACTACATAATGCTCAGAACCTATTAAAGAATATATATGGGGGGGAGGGAGAGAGGGAAAGAGAGAAATTTTTAAATAAAGCATAAGGCGATGTAAGGCTTGAATTTCATCGAGTCCAAAGAACTAATATTCTCTAATGATGAGGCTAAAGCTGCTTTGCCAAATTTTAATTTTTGAGGAATCCACTGCATTTAAAAAATAGTAAATCTGCTTGTCAAAGCTAGGTCATTAGTGTAACAATTAGGCAGCTGCTAATGTTTCCTTTCTGAGGTCTCAGAAAATGGACAGTTTTCATTCAGCATCTCCAGAGGAAAACTGCAGACAGTGCACCCTTAGTGAGCAGATGATAGCCGTGAGTTCAGCAAAGAGGGGAGGCCAGAAAATGTTGCTTGCTTCATATTTTTAATGTGTCTCCTTCAAGTTCTGTGGAGCTATCCCAACTCCCAAGGGGAGCATGACCTTCGGCCTATTACCCCTCAGACCCTCCACGCTGTCCATTTCCTGTGGCCCTGAGAAGGACAGCACAGTGATCTGCTTCACTTAGGAATGTTAGTGTAAAACATTTATATACAAGATGGTTCTCTAACTCCTGCAAAGGCAGCGGCCACATCTGCACATAGGTTGGCATGACTGTCCTCAAAACCGACTGGTCACTCGCACCAGCTGGTGGCTCCAGTGTGCAGAGTTGCAGTTGGGATGATGAGGGTGTGCTTGCACCTGTTCCGTAGGTTGGCAACGCTATCACAGGTTTAGAAAGGTGCATGATCCGGCAGGGGTGGGTCTGCATGCCCCGGGAAGCTGTCACTGCCATTCTCGTTGCCACCCACAACCTTAGACTATAGAAGGAAAAAAATCAAGAAAACAAAACTTGAGACCTACAGGACAGGCAAAGTTAAGTCCCAGGCCTAGTTCAACTCTGTTTAAGTTTATGTAACACAGAAACTACCTAGCAGGCTAAGGTAGACTGCAAGTTCTAGCCATCTGAGACAACTTAGCAAGACATTTCAAACCTTAAAAAAGGGCTACTCTACACAGATGGCCTGGGTTCGGTCTGAGGGGAGGAAGTGGGAGAGGAGGAGGACAGGGCAGGGAAAGAAAGAGCAGATAGTTCACCAAGAAACAAAGGAAGGGCCGGCCAAATGGCTCAGTGGAGGAGCCGGAGGTTCAATGCCCAGGCCTGTGTGGTGGTGCGCATCTATAATCCCAGCTCTTGGGAGGCTGGAAACAGGTGGATCACTATGAGTCCGAACTAGTAGTGAGACCCTCGACACCCTGTAGACCCTTCCCTAAAACACAAAAATAAAATAAAAAAAGAAAGAGGGGCCGGGGAGATGGCTCAGTGGAATAAGCGCTTCCCTGGCAAGCACAAGGGCCTGAGTTCAATCCCCAGTTCCGCCAAAAAGAAAAGAAAGGAATGAGTCACTGACAGGCAAAGAGCTGCATGGGTCCCAAGGAGTTATGCACCATGGTGAGAAAGCCAATCTCAAAAGGCTACTCGTGGGGCTGGTGAGATGGCTCAGTGGTCTAAAGCACCTACTTAGAACAAGCTTAGCAAAGCACAGGGACC